ATCTTCCAGCCAGTGCAGACTGGCAACTACCCGGAGGAGAGCCTTCTCGGTGGCTGCTCCGACCCTTTGGAATGAACTCCCATGAAAGTGTCCAGTTATTTAGGGGCCAAGTAGAATTTTTGACCTAACGGAGATCTGTAGGATCAACATTTGGGAGATGGAGGTACCCAATAAATACAAGGATATCCTATTAACATTTGACCTAATTTGGAGCCTCTGGGGTTAGGGAACACTTTTTTTTTTTTTATAAAGTCTAGCTTCCCCTTTTAGGGTGTCTAAGCCCTTCCTTGCAAGATTTCCATCTTGAGCAGAGGCACCACAGCAAAATCTCCTCCGTAAGTGCAATTTCTACTTTTCTTTCTGACTCCATTCCTGGGCAGCAAGGCTTCTTCCTTGGCCACCCTGAGCAAAACAGCTCTGGCAGTGGGGAGAACCACCCCTACTCACCCCAGTAATCTCATCTAGTCTAAAGGCAGATTTGGCTATAGGTCAGAGAAACTGAGAAGGTTTAATAAGTAATGTTTAGTTTTTAAAACTGGGTCAAACATCTTCTCTTAAATCTGGGATGGGAATTATCTTCAGGAGACCCTTTCCTCACTCTCGTCTGTCTGGGATCTTCGTGGGCTTCATTGCGTACATCCAAGACAACGCCCAAGAACAACATCCATTTGTTTTTCTGCTTGCAGTCAGATTAGGCAATGTATGTGTGGGGGTGGGGGAAATTTGCGCATTCATATTTTTAGATTTGCTCATTCTTTCTGGTTTTTCTCTCCCATCCGTGACCGCAGAACTTTTGACGGACACAACGTACGTAGATCCTACGTACCAAATTAAGCTGTCTGAAGCCATTTGCATTTGAAGATTTAAAGTTGGACATTCTTTTTCTTAGGATTCCACTAAATGCTAAAAAAGATTCTGCGTTTTAAATGACAGGGAAAATAAGAACATGAAAAATAAGCAATGAGAAAACACCAGACAAAATAGGCAAGATATTCACAGCACAAAGTTAGCTCAAAGTGGAGGTGACAGATTTACTCAGATGGAGAACTGCTGTCATTTTGGTGGGCCTTGGGAAAGACGGTAGAAGGAGCAATTTGGCAAAGTTTGTTTATTAATATTTAAAAGCTCTCCAATAGCTGAAACTCTCTGGGCTATTTACAATGAAATGCACTAAAAATCTACAATTGACATATATACATATATACAGAATAAAATAAAATGCTGAATGAAAACCACATACAAATTAGGCAGCAGCACTGTGGCCATTCAAAAACTAAAAGGATGCAAATTAAAAGACAATTAAAAACCAAAGTGGAAAGAAGAGGGAAACTGTGCTATATTTTGCCTGAAATTCTTGTAGGGTTCTGAATTTGTTCTACCGTACAGATCTGACCCGCAGTTTGTGAATGAGTGGAATATTGTTTGTGGAACATGTAGTGGCAGTTTTTCGAAATTTTGGGCTTGCCAGCGCTTGATGAGGCCAAGATGCAGTCGATCTCATGTGCAATCCAGCTGTTTGTGGGAGCAGCCTTTGAGGGCCAGGATATTCTACAGACCATAATTCAGTGTCTTTGCTTGCACGCTGCAGCTTCCAGGAACCCTGCAATTCTACTTTGACGCTTTAGATTTAGCATGTTGTGTGAACCCTGCGTTTGTGGGATTAAAATGTTTACCTTTGTATTCAGCCACGATTTCTAAATATTAGATATGCAGACTCTGCCTCTTGCTGTGTCCCTGACTTTTCCTAAAACTAGTCCACACTTTTTAAACCATACATTTTACTTTAATTGTACCTTATTTCAGCTGCTTGAGCTTCTTTTCAACCATGACATGTTTTGAGCGTGTTTTTCCCCATCAGTTTGATTTCTCATCTTCCCCATTACAATTTACTGACTTTTTATAACCATTTTGGAACTTCTTAGAATGGTTTACCAACAACTGAGAACTCACCATAATATAGAGCAGTCCAAACTGGGTTTAAAAAGCAATTGCCTTTCCCTGAAACAGATGAAGTTGGTCTCCCTCTCTTGGGGGGCAACACCCACCTCCTCTCTTTCTTGTCCTTTACAGAACTCCCCACCACTTGGAGATGGATTATCCTACAGGAGAAGAAGGTCTTCCTGACATTTCTGACTATGACTATTTAAACTCCACAGAGGAACCTTTCAGCATGGAGGAGAGCAGCCTGAGTCCCATCGTCTTGGTGGCCATTGTGCTCTACGCCCTGGTGTTTCTAGTGGGCACACTGGGCAACGGGGCCGTCATCTGGGTGGTGGGATTCCAGATGCAGCGTACAGTGAGCTCCGTCTGGTTCCTCAACCTCTCGGTGGCAGACCTCCTCTGCTGCCTGTCTCTGCCTGTTCTGGCTGTGTCCCTTGGCTCCGAGAATCATTGGGTGCTGGGGGATTTTGCCTGCAAACTCTTGCCGTCTATCGTCATCCTCAACATGTTTGCCAGCATTCTGCTGCTGGCCCTGATAAGCATGGATCGGTGCGCCCTTGTGCTGAAGCCCATCTGGTGCCAGAATCACCGTTCAACCCGCTTAGCCTGGAAACTGTGTGGCGCGGCCTGGGGCTTTGCCACCTTCCTCACTCTGCCCTCCTTTGTGACCAGAAGAACGCGATACTACGAATATCACCACCTCACGCTCTGCGTGGTCGATTATGGCCTCTTTGGTGTAAATCACCAGACTGCTGAGGTCTCTGTGGCAGCCACACGTTTCCTGACTGGCTTCCTGGTCCCTTCGGTAGCCCTCAGCCTCTTCTACGGGCTGCTGGCTCTGCGTGTGCACAGCAGCCGCTTCATGCGCTCCAAGAGGACCCTGAAAATGGTCCTGGTGGTGGTGGTGGCCTTCTTTGCCTGCTGGGCTCCTTATCATGTGATTGGCCTGATCCTCGCCAGTCAGACTCAGAGCAGCCCCCTCTTCCAGTCCCTGAACCAGCTGGACCCTCTGACGGTGGCTCTCGCCAGCACCAACAGCTGCATCAACCCCGTCATCTATGTCATTGCGGGCCAAAACTTCAAGGCTAGAATCTGTCGCTCGCTGAGTGCTGTGTTGCGCAACGTCCTGAATGAGGAAGTGTCAAGAACCCCTTCCCAGGCCAGAGAAGCCGCTCAGGGGCCCTGCACCACCACGGAGGATCAGAGCACTAACACAACCGTGTAAACCCTTCCCGAGCAAGGGCGCCATGCAGCTGCTGCTCCCTTCTGGCTGGAAACATATTTACAGCAGCTCCCTCTGGCCAATCTGCACTAGTTCTGCTATGCAGTGGGACCCCTAAGACCCAGTGATTGTCGCTGATTCTCCTGACCACCGCTTCCCCCTTATTCAGTGGTAAAAAGCAAAGAAGTGGACAGAAATCTACCTAAACTTTCATCTGCTGCTTCAGTATGTTTGTCTGTGTGCGAATATAAAAATTAGGAAATATTTCTGAGGTACTAAGCTTTCATTTATTGTAACTTATATGGCACTTCATTTCTGAGCAGATACCAACTGCTGATACCATCTAAAAGTCAATCCATTTGCTGCACCACCATTAGGCTTCTACTTTTCCCTGATTTGATTCCTTTCATGGGATTAAATGCAGGAAACAACAGACTCACCTTCCTGGATATCCGTTTGAGCAGGGAAAGCAAACGGCAGATCCAGTTTTATTGCAAAGCAAGCAGCACCAATCAAGCACTTCCAGAGCAACAATCCCGCTATGTGGTAGATAAAAAAGCTACAGTAGATGAGAATAGTCTTCAGGAAGAAAAAACAGCCCGTAATAAACCAGGATAGAGAGCCAGTGTGGCCCAATGGTTCTCGCACTAGGCTAGAAGGCAGGAGACCTTGAGTTCAAGTCCTGCCTGAGGCACGAAAGCCAGCCTGGGTGACTTTAGGCCAGTCCCTCTCAACCAGCCCGATCCACCTCGTAGGGTTGTTACTACAGAGATAACAATAGGAAGCGGTGGTGGAGATGTTGGCTTCCTTGAGTTATTTGTTGTTGTTAGTTGCAAAGTTGTGTCCGATCCACGGCGACCCCATGGGGGCCGTTTTTGCCGTTTTGGTGCTGTCCGTGGGGTTTTCATGGCAAAGGTACCGGAGCGATCGGCCCGTTCCTTCTCCAGTGGATCCCGTTTGTGGTAGAGCTCTCTGCTACGACCTGTCCGTCTTGGGTGACCCTGCACGGCAGAGCTCACAGCTTCAATGAGCTAAGCAAGCCCCTTCGCCACGACGAGGCAGTAATCCACGAAGGGGAGATCTCTGTGGAAAATGGTGAATTTTAAAAAGGAAAACGAAGACTCGCCGATGAAGAAGAAGATCCGTCCATTCAACCCACCAGTCAGGGCAACCCAGGCGCTCATGCGCACAAACCTCCCACAAAGGATCGAAGCTCCGAGCTCTCGGCTCACCTGGCCGAGCTTGGGGGCGGGGCCTCGCTGTCTCCGCCCCCTCTCCCCCCAGCAGCGCCTGCAGCGCCTCCGAGGGAAGGACCGGGATGGCGGCGGAGGGCTGGGACTGCCCCGCCACCCGCGCCCGCCTGGAGGCCGCCTACTTCCCGCCGGGCTGCGGCGGCCAGGAGCTGGAGGACTTCTGGGCTTTCTTCCGGCGCCTGCGGGGCTTCTGCGAGCGGCGGGGCTCCGGCGCGGGGGACCGGCCGGCCTACGATCCCAGGTGCCGCCTGAATCTGCGGCTGCCCCGGCGAGAGGCGCCCGGCGTGTCTCCGTCGCTGGCGCGCCGCTTCGGCCTGGCGCTGCTCCGCTTCCTGGACTTCGCGCAGCGGCGGAGCTTGGCCCGGCTGGCGCGGCTGCAGCGGGAGCGCGCCGCCCTGCCCATCGCCCGCTCGCGGGAGCCGCTGCTGGCCGCGCTGGCAGGCAGCCCGGTGGTGCTGGTGGCCGGGGACACGGGCTGCGGCAAGTCCACGCAGGTGCCCCAGTTCCTGCTGGCC